TTTTTGTTAAAAAAATACCCTTTTAAATTTAAATTTTACATGGAAATTTATGTTTAAATTTTCCTGTTTAATTGGAGAAATTTAACTTAAACTAAAAATGGGCAATGCAGTGGGCCATGCTCAACAAGAGGTTGGGGCAATGGTTATCGTTGGTGATGAGTGGAGGTGACAAGGTGGGTGTGTTTAAGGCAAGCGACAATGGCAAGCAAGGTTTGAAGGGTTGGCATGGATGGGTTTTGTAAATGCAAGAATTAGCTCTACAGTTATCTTTGCAGAACTCTGGGTTGATTAGATTGAAATGATCTAAAAACCTTTAGTGTGTCCAAAATACATGGAAAGAGAAAGGGTAATTAATGTACCTTGGGATTAATGCCCAGGATATTTATAGGCTAAAAAAGGTAAAGTCCATATGACACAGTTACAATGATTGTTCAAGAGCATGTTTAGTTTGGTGCATGTCCATTGGAGTACCATGTAAGCGCATCTAGCTATAGCTAGAATCGGCCTCATGTAACAACCATTAGTTTGAGGTGGAGGGTTCAATTCCACCTTTGCTAGCTTTTGCTATTCAGTGAAATAAATTTATGGTAACATGACAAGAGTTGTTCAGACATATCCTCACAGGTTTGGAAGCTTAGATGATTAGGGGAACTATTCTCTAGAGACCGGAAAAGTTGCAAGCGACGAAGGGTTGCCTTTAGGATCAAGAAGAAGAGTGGCTCTTGCAGTTTATACCCTTCACCTTTAATAGGGTTTACCTTTTAGTGTCTTTTCTTTTTCTTTTTCTTTGTTCAATTTATGTCATTTAGTTTAGTTTTGTTCACTTTAGTCCTCCCTTTATTGTTCAGTTTCGTCTAGGGTTTGGTCCTTTGGTTTAGTCTTGATCAGTTTTGCTCTTAGGATTGTTGATACGAGTTTGTTATCTTTATGCAGTTAATTAATGGGAGTTTATTAAAATAAGTAATTTTTTAGGGATACAACTAATAAGTACTAATATTATATTATATTTTATTTGAAATTGATGTTTATCAGTTGAATTTCTAAAAAATTAAAAGAACAAACACTTTAGAATGACATTATTTCATTAAAATATCATGGGAAAAAAATCAAAATAAAGTCAATTCTAGTTTAAAAATAAGTTATTTTAATTTTTTAATGAAAATTTATTAAACTAAAGTAGTTAACAAATTAGTTTTAGGGTTTTTTTTTCTTAATTTTTTATAATATGTTTGGGTTGAAAAAAAAATAAGATGAGGGAGGAAAATTTTTTTAAACTAAATATTATAATTTAATTAATAAAAAAATCTCACTTATATATGTTTCTTAACCTAAATATACTATTAAAGATATAATTAATAAACACTTTTTTCAATTTATTTTATTATTCAAAAAAATTTATTGGGGGATACTGCAAAACAAAAACGTAAACTACATTCATGAGCAAGTGAATAAGTTGGCAGGGATTCTTTTAATTTGACCAGAAATTTTAGTTTCAAATCCTGAAAATGCAATTTCTTGAAACTCATGAATGAGAGTTTAACCATTCATTAAATTCTACCTAACTCAAATCCAAATTAGTCGACGGACCAATGTACTTCCGGATAGCAGGTGGTCCATACCAAAAAAAAAAAGAAACGTAAACTACAAGGTTCGATCCTTCCGTGTGGATTCCCCTTCCCTGCCTTTGCATTTAAACGGCTTTGATTCCATTGCCAGCTGATCTCGCGCAAAACCTCAAGCTCTGATGCTTTGTAATTAGATTCAATCCAATTCTGCTCCTCTCATTCCCCTTGGAGATCCATGGCGGAGCATGACAAGTCCACAACGCTCATGGAGAAGATCGTCGAAAAGATCCAAGACCACAACGGTTCTTCGTCTTCCTCCTCCGATGAAGACGACAGGCCATCGCATACCAACGCCTTGAAGTCCAAGATTTATCGCATCTTCGGCAGGGAGAAACCCGTCCACAAAGTCTTAGGCGGTGGCAAACGTACTGTTCATCTCTCTCCCACCATTTCATACCTGTATCATGTTTCAGAGTACTCCTTTCTATTTTAATTTTGCATTTATTCGAAACGATTAAAGAATGCGCGATTTTGTCGTTTTCTGAATCGGGTTGCTTGGTTCATTCGCAGGTTCGCGTTTCGAATCGCAAGAGCTACGGGCCAAATATGCGATGTTGCTGTGATTTTATTTATTCAACCACGGAAATTGTTCAGATTTCTTCATTTATGAAGAATTTTCAATTGTCTTGTTCTTTGTTTGTGGCATGATGAGTTGGTGCATTTCTAGTAACAGTCTCATGATTTGATATTTTTTAGTACATAGTTGACCATTTACCACTTTTTCCGAATCTCTTCCATTTAATTTAAAGTTTGGACCTAAGATATTGAGGATATTGAAACTTTTGGGCTGTTCGCATCAAATTTTGAAAGAAAAATGGAAAAGAAATAACGTGTTTGACTCTTGATATTTGAAAGGAAGATTTGAACCCAAAATTCCATGGACCTCTACCTATCCTTTTATAATATGTTTAAATTACGAAGAATAGAGGAAAGAGAGAAATTTTTTCTATTTAGTTACCAAAAAAAATAAAATGGAGGAAAGGGAAAAAACACCCTTTGCTTCTTTTATTTTTTCATTTTTAAGTTATTTACTTATCCGAATGAGAGGGAGAGGAAAGAGAAATAGAATGATGTTGTTGTTTCCTTTTATTTCCTTCCCCTTTTCTTTCCTTTATTTTTCTCTAACCAAATATACTTCTATTGTTGGTCCTAGGTTTCATTGATGTTAGGATGAGTTCTATAAATTTGTTTTATCCGGGTTTATTTTCCTTTATCAACTCTTCTATCACTCGATATCTTGGTCTCATTTCGAATCCATTACTTATGCAGTGGCTGATGTTATGCTATGGAGGGACAAGAAGATATCTGCAAGTGTGCTTGGTGGTGCCACTGTATTATGGGTTCTCTTTGAACTACTGGAGTACCACTTAGTAACTCTAGTCTGCCACATATTGATAGTCTCTTTGGCTATCCCTTTCCTATGGTCCAATGCATCAAAGTTTATCAACAAGTAAGAAGTTGTTATTCTTCCTTGCCTCGAAGACTTGTAAGCTTTGATTTACGTAGTGTTGACTTCACTATCCCAATGTCCAGGTCCCCTCCAGGGATTCCAGAAGTTGTACTCCCAGAGAAGTGCACACTTGAAGTTGCATCTGCACTGACAACAGAAATCAACAGGGCTTTGGCTGTTGCGAGGGAGGTTGCATCTGGCAGAGATTTGAAGAAATTTCTTGGTGTATGTTAATTTTTTTCCTTTGCCTTCAATTGGTCACCTCCTACCACTCTCCACGTTATAACAGTTCATTTGTCAGCATTCACCATGCTGATATGAGTTGCCTTGATACACCTTACCTTTTTGCATAGTTATTTACCATATGTTGTTCACAGCCTTCATGCTTTACTTTGATCTTCACTAGGTTATTGCAGGATTGTGGGTTCTCTCCATTGTGGGTAACAAGTTCAACTTCTTGACCTTGTTATACATTGGTAAGGAGTTCAATTATTTTCTCAGGTTTTTGTTAAACCAGTGTCCCTTCTTTTTTTTCCTTTTTTCCTTTTTTTTTTTTTAAAGGGTGTTTTTCCTCTAATTAATGCCAAATAATGTTGGTGGCAGTATTTGTTCTGCTACACACTGTGCCATTTGTTTATGAGAAACACGAGGACAAGGTTGATTCATTTGCTGAGAAGGCCATTATTGAGATCAAGAAGCATTATGCAGTGCTTGATGAGAAGGTTTTGAGTAAAATTCCCATACAGCAAGTTCTAGGACAACTGAAAGACAAGAAGAGAGATTAATCAATGCTAATCTTTTCCTCAGAATGGAAGACCATGTCTTTGTCATTGTTCTTCTCATTAGAATCCCTATTTCTATTTTATATTTTCCACACATCGTCATTGAATATGGTATTCAAAAGTGTCTAGTTTTAGATCACACGCTTAAAATGGTTTTTCTGATCAACGGTCAGCATTATTCAACACCTAGAAATATAAACGAAAAATTTGTGCAGTTGAATTTGATATAAATTTGCATGGATATTTTCTGATAATACTGTTGTGAACTATAATTGCAGACTTGTTACCAAATGCAGGGCTTAAAGAGTCTTGAACTTGAATTCATAGATTCACCCTGCCTTCATGTAGATTCTATCACATAATTGGCGTTGCTTAGATAGTTCTATTTTGCATTATCATTCAGTGCTCTGAGGCAGCTTTTTCTCCTTGTTTCTGTTTCTTTTCCCTTTCATTTTTCTCCCTTTCGAGTGTGTTTCTTCAGACAATTTTAATTTTTCTTTGATCATCTTCTTAATATTTAAACCTCTCTCCAGCTGTTACTAAGTTTGTCTTAGGATTTGAATAATATACAAGTAGACTCAACTTTGAAGAATTGAGACATCCTTTAAGAACATCTTTGATGTTTTATGGTAGTACTAAATTTGTTAAATGCACAAAATTGTCTCGAAACTTTTAATTTTGAGCATTTTAGTTCATGAACTATTATTAGCCATGAAACTGGGATAAATAGCGAAACCTCTCGCCCTCAATTGGTGTACCGTAATACGTGGAAAGGAATTCAATGGAGAAACAGTCCCCCTGAAATTATGTCTTGCTGTTAAATTGTGCAACAAAATCAATGACTAAGCCAATTGAGGGAAGTTTATTCCTCAATGAATCTCTCCTCATAAATTGTTATCAAGTAGGGAGGCCATGGTAACCATTGATGCATATACGGATTCTCTCTTTGCCATGGCATCTTGAACATTTTGAACAGATGTTACTCTTTACCATACACTCTTCAATGTTCAGGCACTTAAACGAATTAACAATGCCCCATTTATTGAATCTGCAAACACATTTTTTGATTTGTTACAAATTCTGAGTTACAAGTACAATTAAACTATGAAATTATAAATAAATCATGCATGTAGCGAATCTCCTCCACACTTTCTTGTCAAAATGCGTTTCTATGCGCGTAGATTGATATAGGAAGCCAATTAAAGACATTTGTACAATGCTTTGTATTTAAAAGACCATGAAATTCTCAGTTGTTAGTCATTTTCATGCTTAAAACTATAAATTGCATTTAATAAAAGGAATTTCTTTTATCAACAAACCTGTTGATCCGAATGAAAAGAGTTTAGTTTTTCTTTAAGATCTTGTGTTTGAGTCTTATGAATGAAGAAATAGACGTTTAGAGAGTTTCTTTTCTTATGGGGTCCAACACGACTTGATTTCGGATTAATCGAGATTCAATATGATTACCAAATATTAAAATGTTAATACCAAAAAACAAAATAATTTCTTTTAGAATATTACAATGTAATATCATGTAATATTATTATCATAATGTATCTTTATATTATTAAATTTTTGTTCCAGGGATCATGCAATGCATTAGTTGTGTCTATTTGTTTAATGCTAAAATATTATTGTAAATTTATAATCTTATATGACATAATTTTTTTATTATTTAATATGACACATAAACCAATTAATCCATCGTAAGAGTAACAAAATGGCGCTAAAAAACAAAGTTCCATGACGATTTCATGGCTAAAAATAATTCAATGACTGAAAAAAATGGCTCAATATTAAGAGTTAGGGACAACAACACATACATTTAAACCGGAATAGCACAGCAAAGTCTTTGGTGTTTCAGAACATTCAGTTATTTGAGCTATGCACTGCATTTTTGCCTTTAAATTTACGAGCTCTTCATCACCTTTTTTTTTCTGGGATTAATCTTCAGTTACATTATTTCCTACTCTTTTTTATGAAATAAAGGAATGCAGAAATTCCATTCTTAAGCTCAAGAAGATGATATGTGTGTGTATATCTATATATATATGAAATAGTATTTATCCATTTATTTTCTAAAGATTAGAATAAAAAAATATCTCAAAATTATGTTATTCTAATAAACTTTCTTTGAAAAAGACTAAAATATTTTATTTTTAAAGCATGAATTAAAGTATTTTAGTCCTATCTCATGGTATTTTATTAAAACTATATAATTTAAAGTAATTTTTAAATTAGAGGTAAAATGACTAAGTACTAACACCATATATATATATATATATAT